GTCCTGATTACCTTGTTTACAGTTGCACAACCCCTCCCCTACATTGCTCTCTGGATCTCCCTTTACTCTGATCTTCTCTCTGTCTCTGTCTCTGTCTCTCTCTCTCTGTTTTTGCAAAGCACTTATCATATAACATAGAATATATTTTACTTATGTTCCTCATCTTTCTCTTTACTAGCATGTGAGCACTGCAAGGTGAGATTTTTATTTTGCTAGCTAATATATATCAAGAACCTTCAGTAGTGTCTGGCATTTAGTAGGCACTCAGTAAATATTTGTAAATGAATAAATGAAGGTTAAAGGACTACAATTCTTGATGAGGTCAAAGAAGTAATTGATTAAAAGTAAGGAAGTAGAAATTAAGGATAGGAGTTTGTGATCACAGGTAGACTCTAGGAATGTAGCTGTAAACAAAGCTATAAAAAACTCCAGGCTTTATGGAGCTTACCTTCTAGCTTGGTAAATTTATAGTAAGCCATAATAAATACATGTGTATTATGTTTGATAGTTTTATATGCTAAGGAGAAGGGAGGGTGACATTTTAGATAGGTTGGCCAGGAAGGTCTTGCTGAGAAGTTGCCATTTGAGTGAAGATGTGGAGAAAGGGAGAGAATGAACCTTGAGACTACAAGGGTAAAAATATTCCAGGCAGAAGGGTAATGTAGGTAATGCTGAGACTGGCTTCAATCACAGGGATATGTGAAAAAGTAGCCTGTAAGGAGAACCATATTGTAGGTAAGCAAGGAGGGAGGTTAAAAGGCCATTCTTTGCTAGCCACCTTCTAGAACAGAATCATTTTCTTACAGTAAAAGAGAATGATCCCTTGTTTATTTTAGCTATTGCTTTTGCAAATTATATCTTTGTGTTTAGGAAGTCATTCAAGAATGGATGATGACAAACTATATATATTTTAATTAATTAATTAATTAAATTTGGGGGCTGCATTGGGTCTTTGTTGCTGCGTGGGCTTTCTTTAGTTGCGGTGAGTGGGGGCTACTCTTCGTTGTGGTGCACGGGCTTCTCACTGCGGTGGCTTCTCTTGTTGCAGAGCACGGGCTCTAGGCGTGTGGGCTCTAGAGCGCAGGCTCAGTAGTTGTGGCTCACCAGCTTGGTTGCTCCGCGGCATGTGGGATCTTCTCGGACCAGGGCTCGAACCTGTGTCCCCTGCATTGGCAGGCGGATTCTTAACCACCGCACCACCAGGGAAGCCCACGAACTATATTCTTTAAAAACATATTTTAGGGCTCGAGCCCTGGTCTGGGAAGATCCAACATGCCGCTGAGCAACTAAGCCTGTGAGCCACAACTACTGAGCCTGCGTGCCTAGAGCCCATGCTCTGCAACAAGAGAAGCCACCGGAATGAGAAGCCCACGCACCACAACGAAGAGTAGCCCCTGCCCGCCGCAACTAGAGGAAAACCGCGCACAGCAACGAAGACCCAATGCAGCTAAAAATAAATAAATAAGTAAATAAATTTATTTAAAAAAAAACAACACATTTTAAAGCAACTTTGTATCATTACCTTTTGTGGACAGCAGAGGGAACCATTTTGCCAGTTACCTAAATCTGGAAGGAGGTTGTTTTGAGATAAAGTCCTTTCATTTACTGTGTTATTAAAATAGTAGTTCCTTTGATTTTTTTAAAATAAAAATTTGTTTTCTCCTAGAGCTTTATTAATATTTATTTGTATGGCTGTACTTATGTAAGAAAATTTGATAGAGTTTTCATGAAATTTAGAAGAATTAATACAGTATGAAAATCTTTAGAGAATAAATTGCATTTTGTTTGTAATCATTTTCTGGTTTTTGTTACTTGCCAGCCAATAGTGACATTGATAACATACTGTCATATTGGGATTTCTTTTTAGGTTATACATTTGAATTTTAAAATTAGTTCTGTTTCTCTTGTCTTGACTGTCTTAAATCTGTTTTGTAGCAGAAAATGTATATTGCCATTTGATCTAGTTTACTTTGCTATGGAAAGACTTACTCTTACTCTGTTGAATGACAGTGTAAGGCCCTGTGATCCTTATATGTGCCTTGAATGTTTTTTGCATTCTGTGAATGTCTAGCACAAATATATCAACCTCCATGGTTATACTTTGTAAAATCTGCCCCCCCTTCTTTCCATGTGTAATAACTGATAACGGACCTTTGGCCCTTTCATGAAGTGTCGGTATGTGACTCTGCTTCTTACTTACCAGCTATTTATCAAATACTTTGATCCTTGATCAATCTAACTTTTGCCCTGCTGACTTTCCGGGTGGGTTTTTTTTTTTTTTTTTTTATTTTGCGGTACGCGGGCCTCTCACTGTTGTGGCCTCTCCCGTTGCGGAGCACAGGCTCCGGATGCGCAGGCTCAGCGGCCATGGCTCACGGGCCCAGCCGCTCCGTGGCATGTGGGATCTTCCTGGACTGGGGCACGAACCCGTGTCCCCTGCATCGTCAGGGGGACTCTCAACCACTGCGCCACCAGGGAAGCCCTTCAGGGTGGTTTTAAGAATCATATTAAGAGTATGTAATTAAAAGGACTTTGAAGGCTAAGAATTAAGGAATTTTCAGATTGCAAGGCTAAAGGAAACAGAGAAAGCATGGGATGTTGAGATGGGTTTAAAGGAGGCTTCTTTTTTTTTTTTTTAACATCTTCATTGGAGTATAATTGCTTTACAGTAAAGGAGGAATTTTTAAAAGGAACCAATCTACCAGATAGGTTTTTAAAATTATATCTTGGTGAAAGAGTTAGTTGAGAGCTCATTTACTGTTCTCCAGGTGATTCCTTGGTTCATTCATTTAAAAAATGCTTACTGTTGGGTACTGTGCTGGAAATAACAATATGTAAAAGAAGTGATACTTGGTTTTAAGAATCCCTTTGTCTCATAGAGGAGTGAACACATTTTATTTTTTAAGTTTTTGGCCACACCCCACGGCATGTGGTATCTTAGCTCCCCAACCAGGGATTGAACCCACACCTCCTGCATTGGAAGGCAGAGTCTCAACCGCTGGACTGCTGGGGAAGTCCCAGAGGAGTGAACACATTTTAACAATAGTTTCACAGTTGAAGGCAAGATCACCTCTTTGGTGGGCCTTGGAGTGGGCAGGCATTGGTCAGGGAAGGCTTAAAGAGACCAGGAGAATTGGGCTTTGAAGTGTGGATGACTTGGAATTGGCCCAGCAGATGATGGGGTGTAGGGTGTTTCACAAAGTTGGCTATTTAAGTTTAAAATCTAGCTCTGATACTTATGGTATAGTCTTAGGCCACTGTGCATCAGTTTTATCTGTAAAATGGGTATAATAATTGCACTGACTTCATAGGATTGTTGTGAGAATTAAATTAATATGTGGGAAATATTTAAACTGTGCCTGGCATATACTAAACAATTGAAGGTTACCTTATATATATATATATATATATATATATATAAAAAATAAGCACTCCTTAAGGTTAACTTATTTATTTATTTATTTATTTATGGCTGCGTTGGGTCTTCGTTGCTGGGCGTAAGCTTTCTCTAGTTGCGGTGAGCAGGGGCTACTCTTTGTTGCGGTGCACAGGCTTCTCACTGCAGTGGCTTCTCTTGTTGTGGCTCTCGGGCTCTAGAGTGTGGGCTTCAGTAGTTGTGGCGCGTGGGCTTAGTTGCTCCGTGGCATGTGGGATCTTCCTGGACCAGGGCTCGAACCCATGTCCCCTGCATTGGCAGGCGGATTCTTAACCACTGCACCACCAGGGAAGTCCCCTGAAGGTTTAACTTTCAATATCGTTATTCTAAAGATCTAGGGGGTGGAATTGGCAGGTTGTGGTCTTTGATTGTGTTAGGGGGAAAGGATGCATCTAGGGTAGTGGTTCTCAGCGTTGGATCTGGGCAATTAAAACATGCCCTGGGCCCCACCTAGACTGATTTAATCAGTAGTGCTGGCAGTGTGGCTCCAGGTGATTCTAATGTTCAGTCAGGCTGAGAACCACAGGTCTAGGACCATTTCCACGTTTCTGGCTTGGGTGATTGGATTGCTGATGGTGCCATTTACTAGGATAAAAAGCAAATTGAAAAAAAAAAAGATGTTGCTTTTAACATAGCACTTGGTCTTTCTAAGAATCCTGTTAGCATTTGCATGCTTTAACTTTCTGTAACTAAGGAATACTTTTATTTTTATTTAACATTTATTTATTTATTTGGCTGCTGTCAGGTCTTAGTTGTGGCATGTGGGATCTTTCATTGCGGCATGCGGGCTCTTCCTTGTGGCGTGTGGGCTTGTCTCTAATTGTGGCACGTGGGCTGTAGAGCAGGGCAAGCCCCGCGACATGTGGGGTCTTAGTGCCCTGACCAGGGATCGAACCCGTGTCCCTTGCATTGGAAGGTGGATTCTTAACCACTGGACCACCAGGGAAGTCCTTAAGGAATACTTTTAAATATTTGTTTCTGGATTGCTTATCATAAATGACCCCAGACTTGTGTGACTTTCATGTTCTTGTATCTGCATTTTACACTTTGAGGTTTTTTTTAGATATTACCTGCTGCTGTTCCTTCTCTTTGGACTTACTATGTTTCAAAATACCCTATAATTTTTATATTTTTAGGTTTGTTTGACTCTCTTTTAAAATTTCTTGTTATTGCTTCCTCCCCTTCATCCTGTCTGGCTCCCCTACCCCTGCTACCACCACTACTAGAATATAAGCTCCACCAGAACAGGGATCTTGATATTTTTGTTCACTTACGAATGCTAAATTCCTGGTACATAGTATATAATACATACTTCTTGAGTGAATGAATGAATGAATTACTATCAGGCTGGTTTTGTTTTCTTCTAGGTTCTTGGCTCTGCTCCAGAGTAAGTGAGATATTGTAGAGCAGAGTTTCAGAGGAATCTGTGAGAACTGTTTCTTCCTGTATTTAATTGATAAACATGAAGCTTAATTTTTGGTTGCTGAAGGTTGTAAGAATACAATTGAGCAAATGCTTCTTAATACATTTTAACAATGAAAACTTTTTTTTAATGTTTTGGTAGGAACCACCAAAGCCACCTGTAAATAATTTTAAAGTGGGAATGAAACTTGAAGCTATAGACAGAAAGAACCCTTATCTGATCTGCCCTGCAACTATTGGAAATGTTAAAGGAGATGAAGTTTATATCACATTCGATGGCTGGAGTGGAGCTTTTGATTATTGGTGCAAGTATGATTGTCGAGATATTTTCCCAGTTGGGTGGTGTCGCCTGACAGGAGATGTATTACAACCACCAGGAACTTATGGTAAGATAATAACTAACTAATACATGTTCTTTTATTTTCTTGAAGTTAGATCTATCTGCTCTTGGCATTGAGAGTAGGATTTCATGTCCAACTGAGGAGCATCAGGCAGAACAGCAAGGGTACTGTCCAGGTTAGAGAACTGGAGGTAAAAGTTTACAATTAGAATTTTTGAGGGCCAACACAACATCGTGGTCTGAATTGACAGTCCACACTGGGGAATATGGACAAAGCTACAAGTCACACTTAGACTATTGAAGCCTTGCTGCTAGAAACATTTTGGGGTGCTCAGGTACCTTTATAGTTGATATTCTATTTAAAATTACACATGGCATTCCATTGTTTGTATCTTGAAGATAGTTTTTTAAAGGTTGGGCATAACAAGTGTTATATACATGTTTTACATGATTTTGGTTGTTTTTTCAAGTTAAATTGATACTTTGATAGTGTTAAGTAAAATGTACATGTCCGTAAAAATTTTTGACTGTGGAAGCCACCATAGATCAGTATGTTATTTCCGTCATGTGTTTATCAGTTGTAATGCTGCGCCTCCTAAGTTGAATATAGTGTCATCTAGTCTAGATATTTTCTTTCAAAGAAAAGTCATCAAAATATTGAAGCTTCTTGCTTGACTCTTCCAAGGACGTAGACATGCCTAACCTGGTCTTCTGTGATGGAATAACTGCTGAGATTTAAGTGGAGTCTAAGCACAGAACGCAATCATTTGGCCTAAGTTAAATGTAAACTTATAAGTGGAATCAAATGTAAACATACTTAAAATTTACCCCACTAAATTTATTTATTTATACCAGAAAAAAAAGATGGGTGTAGCAAATGAGTAGGTAGTGTGGTGGAGGAGGGCAGTGGCTAGGTATGAGCACATAGCCATATTATTCTTGTAACTGCTATTAGAATATTCTGTAATTTGGAACTTTAACACATCCCATTATACTACAATACTACATACCATGATGATCTTTTTGTTAGGTACCTCTTTGGTTCCCTGCTGCCATAATTTTAGGAAAGAGATGTTAATGGTTGATTTTTGTAAAATTTAGTGTGATACAGATTTATGTGCATATGATACTAAAATAAGACATGGGAATCCCCTCCCGGTCCAGTGATTAGGACTCCATGTTTCCACAGCAGGGGGTACGGGTTCAATCCCTGGTCAGGGAACTAAGATCCCACAAGCCCTGTGGTGTGGCCAATAAATAAATAAAGTAAGGCATAGTCTCTGCCCTCAAGAAGTTTACCTTCTAGTGGGAGAGGGATGAATGGAGGGATAGACTTTAAAAAAAAAATACAGTACAGAATTAGCAGTGTAAAACTAGAGATGTATGCTAGATATGAAGGTGCCCAAAAGACCTCCGGTCTGTTTAGGCTGGCGGAAGGGTGGTCGGGTAAAGGAAAGCTTCACAAAAAGACACATGATGTGAGTGTTAAGAGAGGGGAAGGAGTTTGCCAGGCAGAATGGAGATAAAGGTAGGGTGGACACATCACAAAGGTGTGAAATTGCACAGTGTGTTCTGAAAACTGGTGAGTTCAATTTGGGACATGGTAACTTTGGAATGTGTAGCCCAGAATGATATTGTCCTTGAGTATCTGGTCTCCCTATATTTTTCCTTAATAACGCAGTTTGGCTGCCTGACATAAAGACTAGATTTCCAGCCTTTTTAGCAGTTAGTTACAGCTGTGAGACTTAAGTCCTTGTCAGTGGGATAAAAGCACAGGTAGTGTGTTACAGAGAAGTGAATGTACCATTCTCTCTTCCTTCTTCTTGCTTCTGTCCTGCTGCTAGGAATGTGGTTGTTTTGGATGGAGCTCTATCTTGGATTATGAAATGGGGACCACATTCTAGGCATTTCGAAGTGGAAAGCAGAAAGGAGCCAGAGTCCCTGAGAACTTTGTGGAGCAGAATTTTTATACTGGCCTATTCCAGACTATTATTTGAGAGAGAAAAATTTCTGTGTTATATAAACCACTGTTTTAGGCTTTTCTGTTACTGTTAGCTGAATTTAATCTTAACTGATTCAGGGTAATTTAGGACATCTAGGTAGACATGTCCATTGGATGGATGTACATGCAGGTATGAAGCCTAAAAGAGTTAGGTCTTGGTTGACAAAGCAGGTTTGAGAATCATCACGTTCATTCAAATAAATACGTTTTGTGTCAGGTGGGATTATAGGTGCTGGCGGGGGAGTTGGTGTGGAGGTGGGCAGCTTACACATCCTGTTGATAGCAGTGGGTGTGATTTTATTTATGGATGTGTAACAGGTGGAGGTGGATCAACCACAGAACCTTGTGCGTCAACATTTAAAACAATAATTCTCACACTAGAATCACCTGGGAGAGCTTGTTAAAAGGCTGATATCCTGATGCTCACATCTAGGGGTTCTGAATCAGTAGGTCCGGAGTGGGACTCAGGTGTTTCCACTGTACATGGTTTGAACTTTGAGAAACACAAGAATAAGAGATGGGTAGGGCTTCCCTGGTGGCGCAGTAGTTGAGAGTCCGCCTGCTGATGCAGGGGACACTGGTTCGTGCCCCGGTCCGGGAAGATCCCATATGCCGCGGATGCGGCTGGGCCCGTGAGCCATGGCCGCTGGGCCTGCGCGTCTGGAGCCTGTGCTCTGCAGCGGGAGAGGCCACAACAGTGAGAGGCCCGCATACCGCAAAAAAAAAAAAAAAAAAAGATGGGTAGATGATAGAATTCAATTTAGGACAGTGAGAAAAAGTATATAAACGTAGGAAAAGCACTAGGTTGATTCCCCCAACAACAGGAGAGGAAAGATTTTAAGCAAATAAGTATTCAGCACTATCAAATGCAGCATAAAACTCAAGAGAGAGAGCTCATTAGTGGTCTTAAGTAAAAGCATGGTTGCTAGACTTCTTTGAAAAACCAGATTTAGAAAGTTGAGGAGTAAATAGGAGATGCAAAGTGTTTTTAAAAAAGTGATTTCAGGGCTTCCCTGGTGGCGCAGTGGTTGAGAGTTCCGCCTGCTGATGCAGGGGACACGGGTTCGTGCCCCGGTCCGGGAAGATCCCACGTGCCGTGGAGCGGCTTGGCCCATGAGCCATGGCCGCTGAGCCTGCGCGTCCGGAGCCTGTGCTCCGCAACGGGAGAGGCCACAACAGTGAGAGGCCTGCGTACCGCAAAAAAAAAAAAAAAAAAAGTGACTTCAATACTTTCTGAAATATGCCTCCTCTGTCCTTTACCCCACTAGACAGTTCACCAGTTAATGTGAAATTTAGAACCTTTACCTCAATTTATAATCCTTTACCCTCTACCATTTATAGTTGTCTTAAATATTTCCTCTATATTCATTGAGAGTGGCATTATATAGTGTGATAATTTTGGCTTCAATCATAAAACATAATTTAGAAAACTCAAGAAGAGAAGGAAAATCTATTGTATTTATGCACAGTTTTGTCCTTTCAGTTGTTCGTTCTTCTTTCCTGGTTTTCAAAGATTTCTCCTTTTATCATTTTTTTTTTTCTGTTTAGAGAACTTCTTTTAGTCATTCTTTTAGGGTATGTTGGCTGGCAACAAATTTTTAGTTTTCCTTCATCTAAGAATGTCTTTATTTCCCCTTCATTCTTGAAAGGTGGTTGCTGGATATAGAATTCCAGGTTGGCAGTTGTTTTCTTTCAGCACTTTAAAAATGTTGTGCAACTTCCTTCTGGCTTCCATGGTTTCTGATGAGAAGTTTGCTTTTATTCGAATTGTTTTTCCCCTATAGGTTCCATTATGATTATGGGTCTGTTTTTCCTTGTAGTTCTTCTAGTATTTACATTATGCTCTATCTGTTTTCTGGCTCCATTATCAGGTGTGTACAAATTTGAATTCTCTCATAACTTTCTGGTCCATTGAACCTTCTGTAGTAATCCTCTTTATGTTTTTTTAGCTTAAAGTCTGCTTTTATCTTGTATTAATGTAGCTATACCAGCTTTTTGTTGTTGTTGTTATACCAGCTTTTATTTGGTTGGTGTTCTTATTCTTTCTCTTTCTCTTTCTAATGTTCAGCCTTTATCTATCCTAATCTAAAGAGATGCGTTTCTTGCAAATAGTCGGATTTTTATTTTTTTGCCAGTCAGCCAGTCTGACTGGAGCTTTTAATCTATTTCTATTTATTGTAATCACAGATATATCGGGTTTTCAGTATGCTATCTTATTTTGTGCTTTTTATTTGTCTTGCCTTTTCTTTGTTTTGTTTTCCTTTCTTATCCTTTTTTGGATTATTTTTTCTTATTCCATTTGTTCTCCTCTTGTTGGGAAGTTATACACTGTATTTTCCGTTCTTTTAATGCTCTAGGAATTTTAGCATGCTTTCTTCAAGGAAGTCTGAAATTAATATCTTTCTTCTGCACTAAGACAATAAAAGGAACTTAGAATACTCTACCTATTTACTCCCTTCAAATTCATGTTATTACTGTTGTATATTTTAATTATATATTTTTGTAATCTTATAAACTATTACTATTATTGTTTAAGTAATCAATATTTGTTGATATTCACCAACATATTCAACATGTTCTTTGCTCTTTATTCCTTCTTAGTAGGAATCCTCCTTAATCCCTTTCATCTGGGATTAATTTTCTGCTGCCTGAGGTAGATCCTTGAGAATTTCCTTTAGTGAATGTCTGCTAGTGGCATGCTTTCTCAGTTTATGTTCATTTGAATATGTCATTATTTCACCTCCTTCCTTGAAAGACATTTTTTCTGGGTGTAGAATTCTAAGTTGACAGCTGTTTTCTTTCAGCACATTGAAGGTATCATTATTTTGCCTTTTGATTTTCATTGCTGTTGACAGTTCAGCTGTCATTCTATTTTTCCTCTGACTGTAATGTCATTTTTTTTCCTCTAGCTACTTTAATATTTTCATGTCATCTTTGATGTTTTTTATTTTCACTCTGATAATTCTAGGTGTGGGTTTTGTTGAATCTTGGCAAAACCACAAAGATACAAATGATAAGTTGTTTACTTTCATTTTGAAAGTTTT